GTAGCTCAGCGGTAGAGCAGCGGACCGGAAATTCGTGGACTGGTGTTCGACTCCTCGTCGAGGCACATTATTGCACGTGAATTTTAATCGTGACTTCTACTTTCTAATAACTTTACACCACTCACAAACATCCACAATTATATGTATTTGCAAGGCCGATTGCGTGTGCATGACAGAACGACAATTGAGGCTGAGAGTCACGGAACATATATCGGCCTGGGTGAGTAAACACGGTTCGCAAATGGCCACGTCCACCACCTCGAATGCGCAGCCAATGAAGCGAAATGAAGCTTCATACAAACAACCAGCTTCATCAATCGCCCGCCACCTGCTGGATGACAACCACTGTGTGTGTGTGTGCGTCCCGTGTTATCCATGTATCAATGAACTCCCTAACTTTACGATACGCTGAGGCCATAGCTATCAAACAACTTGACCCAGCTCTGTCTGTGCAGAAAGGCATTTGTGAACCTGGCCCTGCCGTGGTAGCAGGCCGGAAACAGTTGACAAAATGACATGAATGTAGGTGTGTTCAGTTTGGTCAATTTGCCATTTTAACTGCCCTCCCTTCATGATGCCATAAAGGTACACGTCTGTAGTACGCACTTGCAGATATGCAGAGAAATATTTCCTGACCTAAGTGCTGCGACGCTCTCGTGTTAACCTTTCTGCTGATACTTGTGATCATGGTTGCACAAGCGGTGTTTGCTTTACACTTATTTTCCATGCAACATACTCCGTTCTTTCTCTCTACTTTTCTCTTGTTTAGTACTCTTGACTTTCTTTGCTGTGCCGTAACTACAAGAAACATCAATATTCTTGAAACCTTCTTGCATGCCCTTTGAAAGTACAATGACTGAAGTCAACGCAGATGTTTCAACAGTACTTCTCGCAGTTCAGTGCAGCAAATTTCGGTTGAATACTTTCGTCGGTCTCCTTCATGTTGATGACATACAACGGCGACACATTTGGGTACACATTACCATTGTGGAGCGGTATGGCCTTAAGACTTCTCTTGGACGAGTCAATGAACAAACGTCATTCATCACTGATATGCCTCACGCCAAGCTCCTTCATCAGTTCTTCCACCTCAGAACGATACCAAGTTTCTCTTGTGTCAATGAAACCGGACAATTCTGCAGCCAAGATGCCATCTACTCGGACTTGTCTTTAGGCAAGCCCAGGTCACGTAACAAGTCATTCAGCCCTGATTGTTCAGTAAGATATGGGTTGACAACATCAGCTTTAAAGTTTTCACATGACAGAATCAGGGGAAGTTGACGATGCGGAATCACTACTCATCATGATTGACATGTTCATTGGAGGCACTCGAAGGGGTAAGGTGCAATCATGAAGAACAGCTCGAGTTGCCAATGAAAGATCGGGATAATGAATTTCGTCCTTGTTTCAGTTGGCGATTCAGTGACACTGGCTAAGCATAAATAGTAGTCTGTCCTGTGATCCTTCGGCTCCCTCCACCCCATGGGGATTGCCAAGGAGCATCTTGCCTTTGTCCTTGAGCCACTGAGTCAGATGAGGCTTGCACGACCCACAAACAATATGCGGCGCACACTTCTTATGCTGATCTCCCAGTTTCATCCCGAAATATGCGTGCTAGGCAGACTTCAGTAGTGAAGAAATGGGTCTGCACTACGACTTTGTAGTAAACTGTGCACAGACGTAACAAAAATGATTTCGGTCATCGACACAGCAGTGTCTTTCATCCATGGTCAAGCTATCAATTAAGGAAACACAGCTGTCAATCGACTTTAGTATCAAGTGGATTCCATGGTCAAGAGTACTTCATTTCTTCGATTACAGTGAGCCAATAGACCAATTACTGGCGGGCATCCGATGCATGGAACGCACTGCTTAGCTGAAATTAAAAAAATCGAAACTAAAATATTACCCGAAATGATAGAAACATTTGGTTTGCATATTCATAATCAGCTTCCTTGGTACTACTAGAAACATCCTATCTCATTTCTATTATCGAAATGAAGTTGCACATTGCAATCCTTTGGACCGTAGTTGACAAACTGCGTAGTAAGCGCATTAGCTCAAAGCTTTTTCTACTTCAAATAGTCGACGGCGGGCAGTATCAGTGGCCTAGTAAATGGTTTACCCAAAGAAACATCGAGAGTGCTTACTAAAAACAAATTCGCAGCAGATAGAATAGGAATGATGTCTCAGGGAAAATAGGTTCCGCAAAAACCTACTTATATTTCGAATTTATAGCATCGAACGTTTGGCTATCTAGACTGAAATCTATCAGCCTTCCATGTCAGCCTTGACATGTTGGTATCTGCAGCTTGCTTTCTTTTACGTTCATCACTAGGATTGGAATGCATCAGAATGTATCTGCAGCCGTTTTTCACTTCTAGTGTACCGGAAACTTCCGGTGACTTCAAACCTTCTGCCTCATTTGTTAACCGCTCTACCTGTCCACCGACCTTCAACATTTGATCTCGCGGTAGCTTCAACTTTCCTTGGTTCGCCACAAGCCATCTACGCAATTAATGACTATCTAATTTGCACTGTATATGTGCCTGATAGTTACGGATTTGTGCAATACTGGGTGAAACGTCTTTTCCACCCAAAGAGGACGGTTGTTGTGCCGATTCTTCGAGTCTACGACTGTAGAATGGTATATCCCACCTGCCCGGATTTTGACAATCTCCTGTAATCGTCACTCTAGCTGACTCATTTTGAATATAATTCCTTCACACGCAGCCATGATGACATGGATATCCAACCTGATTAACCCATTTGGTTTGCCAGGCTTACTTCGCCGCTACTTTGAGAAAATTACCCCAATAGGAAGTATTTCCACTTTCACAGTCTAACCGCTAATCACGGCTTCGTGCTTACGCTATACTGTTTCGGTCCATTTTTAAACTGCACCGTCATCGATGCATCTAACCGTAAGGCATTCAACCGTATAATTTCTATTTTAACATCAGTCGGCTGCAGCATACTGTCAAGTAGCAAGGGGCGTTTAGCATCCTACTTTCCCTTGTGAGAGCACCAGCTCGACAGGGTTGTAGCCATATGCGACGTACCGCACCGAAACTGAAACTCACACTCGCAATTCCTGGCAGTTCACTGCTGTCGACCGCTATGAATGGTAGATCCGTGAACTGCCACTTCACACCCAGGATTCTCGCCCACCCACTGTAGGTTTCCATTCCAAAAGAGCATTCCAGCTTTCCCATTTGATTCATTTTCGTCTGACTATCTTTCTTGCAGACGCCGTAACTAGTATCTGTTTAGTCCATGACAGCACTACAGCATTAGAACCCTATATTTGTAACACATCCGAATTTCAGTTCTTCAATTTGGCCAAACTGAGCAAGTTAACTACGGATGTTTCCTCACTGATCCAAGTGACTTCATTGTGTACTAACGATCAGCCTCGTCAATGAGTACTGGTCTCTAAGAAAATCCGGGGATCAAAATCACTGACCACTAGCATGAGCTTCGAACTTCAGTACTTCAGCCTTATCTGTACTGATTACCCACTGTTTTACTTTGATATTTCAACCATTTCAACCAGCCGTTATAAAGAATACTGCGGGTGCGGGTGGATCTTTTCATTTCTGTTGGCGCACTAATCCGATTGGCTATGAGAGCTGTTCCATTCTTCGTCAGCTCGCTGGCTTTTACTATCTCAGGCGGTGCTCTCAAATTCGATCATCCTCTTTCCCTCTGAGCTTCGCGTAACCCAAATCTTAATTACTGTTCATACTTTTTGTGTACTTCGTAAGGAACCGAACTCCGAGTAGTTTTCTTTCCTTGTTTCTCATCGCACCAGCACTTCCGGTTTAGTCCGTTCGAATTGCATCCTTAATCCTCGATGTAAACATAAACCAAAAATGATACTTACCGGGTTCTATAGACACCTGCGTGCACTTGTATACTCATGTTACCAGATTCCCGCCTGTTTATCCCACGTAGTTCATGTCGTAAGGCATATCACCTACGTCATTCAGACCACCATTTCTCAGTTTCAGTGTACTCTGATTCTGTTCCTTTTTCGTTTCTTAATATATCCACCCCAATTTGTTTCACCCATCTTTAGTTGATGCGGCTACTTGACCACCATAGGTAAAAAAAGCAAAATGTGAGGGGAACTACAAATAGATGACTAAGTCAGTTCAAGTGTTGCTGGAGAAATCACTACCAATGTTGAAGCTTTAATATTTGAAAGCAACAGACCCAATGAAACACATTAGTGACGTATCCACAGCATCATGTTCATTGAACTGGATGATTGTTTCAGACGTCAGTTTATCCTTATTTCAACTTTTGTCACCGATTCCCAAATGCAAACACCACTCATCTAAGTGACCGATCGGCACAATTTCGAAATACATCAGCAAACCGGCGCAGCGCATTGAGAGAGTTAATAATGCACCAATTGACCATGTTCCAACCATATAGGAATATTTTGCAGGTACGGTGGCCGAATAAGCTCTTGTTCTTAATATTGTCTACAGGCAGTTATGACTTCCCCGGTTAGCACAGTAACACTGACCGTATTCCAGTGATTCACACCATCTTCGCTCAAAAGATGATCTCTCACCAATAGCACATGTAGTTTAAGTTTTGATGCGCAATATGAACCTCATAGATGCGCACACTATCCTCTTCGTGGGCTTGTTAGCCAAAAGCAGCTCAAATATTTTACCTTTTTATGTATCTTTTTATATCTCGCCGTACTTTTGCGTCAACGGTTTTTCTGAAATTTTCTTCTTGAACTGGTTGCCTCAGCATCCTAATAGATTAAACGGTGGATGATTGAGTCACATACGTAACAAGTGCTATCTCTTTTGCATTTGTCCTTGCCGATTACGTTTTTCCATCCCTTTGTGGGTTTCTGAAACACAGTTGGGCCTGGAGTTGAATGATGTGTGTAGCGATTTGCCATAATCTGCTCTACAGTGTTCACGACTGTATTCCTCATCTAACATTGAAACCACCGTTCGTTTCCAATTTAGACACAAACTGCTATTGAACTCCAGAGAGCGGCTGCTAACTGATGGGTTCCCGGAAACGGATTATACGCTAGTCTCTGCCAAACCGATGCATGATGGTCTGGTTTACTGGATCGCGGTGGATTTGGCCGAAAACAGAATACGACACAAGTTTGTGAGTCTCCTTGTTCCTTGGTGCTTCGTGTACGTCTGCATTGGAAACGCCAGATGATTGTGGCTGCCTACCGGTATTCCAGCTTATGTACGCATACGCACCCATTATCTTTGTAGTGACCTACCAGCTCCCTTTCTCTCCTCAATTGTGGAAATCGCGCACTTATAATTTCTCTCCGTGGCCGTCGCACCTACGAATACCTGTAACACACGCATCGTTGCCATTTATTCTGCTACCATTCAACAATGAACTGATTGGATAAATCAGCACTTCAACTTTCATCCACTTATCTTGCGGGTAATTTCCGCAGCCTTGTTTTCCATATTCCTACATGTTGGTGGTAGCTTTATGTCGTACCCATTCAAGGGGAATACAATCAAGACCGGTCATTTCTCCTATCGCTCTTTCCCTTCTCATAGCCTCATCTTTTCGTCTATTTCTCAGTGACTACTTGTCTACGTCACTTTTTCACTCAAATGTCCAACCTGGTTCTTCTTCTTCAATCGTACTTTTTCAGTAATCACAACACGCTTGGCCTCCTAGGGTTATGTATGGATCTGTAGTGTGGCATCACATCCACCTTTTCCAAATTTCTGGCAATACTCGATTGTCGAAGCGATCCGTTACATTGAGCAAGTACCTTCTGACTTGATCCCATGTTTCGTCGTTTATTGTAAAATTTTCAATGGAAACGGAATCAAACTTGTAAGTCAGATGACTAAGACCCAAAGATATCTAAATGGAATTTACATTCGGGTCACAATTTAGGTTCAGCAGAGACAATAACCACAACAACAGTAATAGTAGCACATCAGTCCATTCATTGATGTTTCACTTCCAAATTCCTAGCGGCTCTGATAATGTGGGGTTGTACGTGGCAGCGAAATGGGACCTGAAGTAAACTCGAATACCCAAACCACATATTCAGGAACATAGTGCGACCTACATTTTACCACCAGCACGCAGTAACACAACCAGCATCGTGCGAAGATGATATATCCTCTACGATGTGTTCGTCACACTAGATCGGACAAACTGGACGGAAAGTTTCGACACGAATCACCGAATACAAAATGGCCATAAGGAGACATGACCCATATCCCTTGATTTCCATACATGAAGACCAGGGAACCATCACTTTGGCTTAGAGAACGTAATATTCGTGAAAATTCGAGGCAGGCCAGAGACTTCTTGGAAGCGTGGCATTCTGCAACCTAACTCAATCAACCGACACCTTGAACTAGGCGCTATATACACGGTACTACGGATAGAAAATATAGTCAGCTTAGTCAATTAAATCTAACGAAACAGAACGCGGGACATGTACATCGGACGACGACGTCAACTGCTGAGGCACGCGTGCTAACGTCACGTGGTACGAATCAGAGTAATCAATTTCGGTGGTCATGTGCGCGTTGAACAATTCGACCACAGGGTGACGGCTCGTCTTCCCAGACGATCAAGCACTCACACTCACTAATGCTTCGCATTGCGCGCTCCGCTCCGCTCCGTTACACCCTAGCGCCTCGAGTGGCGATGAAACGTTTGCAGCAAAATTGCCGAGCTCAGTGGACACTTGGACCATCAACAACTTCCGAGCTTTGTTGCCTACTTCCGTTTTGTGTTACTCAATGTAGGAGACGGCAGCCACGGCCCCAGTTCTACTCTCCAGAACTGCGTACTCAAAGAAGCAATAAGAGCTTCTACATTTTGGCAACTGATCTGATCGAACCACATGCTTTACGTAAAAGTGGTCCACTTCGGTACTTTGGTTTACCCTCATTTACATTCTATCAAGCCATTATTCGTTATGCACCCGATCTAGACACCAGTCCCTACATTTTAAATGGGAAGGACATTCTTTAACATGTTTTCAAAGGCGATAATCTTCGTTTGTATGCCGGAGAAAATTTCCGTCTCTTCTCGTGTATCCTGATGTAACCGCTGTTTGCATTTTAAAGATTTTCAATTCGCTTTTTCTGTCCCATTTCCTGATCCAGTGGGGCTTCCAACCTATTCCTACTCTATCGTTTCTTTGTACAGAACTTGACAATCAGTTGATGCTCCGTCGTGAGGTGTGCATTCTAGTGTAAAGCGAATTATCAATCACAGAGCTCTCCGTCCTTGGATACTACACGGAACGCCTCTGTGCACGGACTCGACAGGGACCTCGGGCTTCCCGGCTGATGCTCCTGAACCGCCCTGCTTCATTCTTGTGCACACTTGCCAATCATTCCAACTATGTGAATACATCGTATCTAGTTTACTCATCTTCTCCGCTCACCTGTTAAATCCATCTGCACAATATCCAAATCATTACCCCTCTCCTGTACGATCCTGTGATTCTTATACTCGCACTCGTTTATTGCGAAAACTCAGGCAGACGTGAACATTTTACAATTATATGTTCCTCAATCATGGGTAGCTCATGTGATTTCTCTTTCCTTCCCTCCCATAATTATCTTTTTTCTCTCTTCCGTGCTTTCCTTACAGAACCACTAACACCATTTAATTTTCTATACGAAGTGCTAATATTTTGCATGACCAAAAGATTTATGTGACCGTTATTCCTTTCGTTTTGCTGCCATTGTCTTGCCCATACGTTCTCGACCATCTAGCGCTTTTCTGCATGCCTAGCTGAGTCCAGCTGCGATGAGTTCAGAAAACCTAATGAGTCTGCTTCTACTCTCTAATAGTTGAAAGCCATTTGCATCTATGCGCATATTCCTCAAAGCCCAATTTCCGCTCCACACCCACCTTCGCATTCCAGTGACTCGCTAATTGCTCTCCACACTGAGACACCTATGACGTCGTCACGATGTCAATCTCAAGCTGAAGCGCAAGGTGTACATTGCATCTATTCTTGCGGTCCTCCTGTACGACTGTGAGACCTGGCCTACTCGCCCGGAAGACATAAAGAGATTGTCACTTTTTGACAATCCTTGTCTACGTAGGGGTGCTCGCATGTGCTGGCGTCATGTAAGCAACACAGAAGTCCGAGCGCGATTGTTTGGAGCAAACAACCCATACTTCCAAAACGTTATTCTCTGACACCGCATGCGTTGGCTCGGCCACGTATTACGCATGCTAGCCTATCTCCTTTCTCGTCGAGTATTATTTGTGCTCCCCGGAAGCGATTGGAAAGTGCCGCGGTGGACAACTAATGACATGAAGAAGGACCATGAAGGCAACCTCAAGCTTATCATTCGTCGGACCGCTCCGCCTTCCAAAATAGGGACAGCGCGACTCGGAGTGCCAGTGGATGCAAACGCTGGAGGTTATGACACGCAACCGCCATCAGTGACGGAAGCGTTGTTCAACCGCATCATTTATTAATGTCCAAACAAATGGTTAGCAGCATCCGGTTTCGCGTCCCTCTATCAATGTGACCAGCCACAGGACGCCTGCGTCTACAGAGGGACCATGGGTGGCTTGCGCTGCACCACCCACGCACCCCTTGTCCAGTGTAAACCCGAAGGAATAAGACCGGGAGGCATGTGGATGGGAGCCACGTTTCATTAACGGAGACGGCCCACGCTCCTTCACAAACAAACACAAGCACGCTGTATTTGGGGAAACAACTGCACCTAAGGCGGTGGTTGGACCGTAGCCCGCTCCACACTGAGTGCATGTAACAGCTCTTCGAACCTAGCACGACCACAAGGACCGTGCACCCCGTCCCCTCCAGCAACGATCAACTGTCTCCTGGAGCCAGTATGAAGGGGGTAGGGAGTAATAACAGGTAGGCACCTTGTCAACATGCACATCAAGCGCAGCCACACCTGGGATGTCAAACAACAGCCAATCATTCGAAATGCCAATATCACATAAAAGATATCGAATAAAGTAAACCTATATGACGACATAAATACTCGCTAAATTAGCATATGGAATAAATTGGTTATAAGCGAATCCGCGAAAAGTACAAAATATCCGAAGGTTACTTAAAAATTACCACGTGATCAAGTTACGCAAGGTTGCAACAATTAGCATGAGCGATGTGTGCAAGTTGGGTGAAGGTTATCAAGTACGCAGAACAAACAAAAAAAGTGGAATGAATTTTATCCACATTAAAAAAATCCTATTTTAAGTGTAACTTTGTTTAGCCCAACTGCGGTGAAGAAGCATCATGAATGCTACATTAGAGCCTCAATATGGGGCACACATACATACATTGTTGGCGTCATCCGGTTTCGGATTCGTCTGTCACTAGGGCCATATATATATATATATATATATATATATACATATATATATCCCATTTTCACTTTAAATCGGGTGTTTATCAAACCACTTTGGACGTTTCGCAAAATAAATTTTACACATTATTCTTGTTAGAAAATCATGAAACATTTTAGCAAGAAATGAAGAGTAAGGCGATTTGACGATGTTCAGAGCACATTTTGGTCACGACAATGCAACCGAGCTGTGCAAGCAGCGAGCGATTGTGCTAGCGTTTCTCTTGATCAGGAGTGTCACCTCGATCAAATCCTTCCCCTGCCCAGTAGTGGCCTCATGTTTTGTGTAGGCGAACCTACGCAGCTGCACGACTCCTGCGACAAACACCTTGTGCTACTTGAAACGACCAAGGTGAGCGACGGAAGACGAGACAGTGAAACTCCGAGGCGGTGAGCGTACAAACGAACAACATCATAACCAAGCTCGTTTTCGTCAACAACAAGACCACTCACGAAGCTGCTGAATTCGCCGATATCAACGAGAGCAGTGCAAGAAATAAATATATATCATCAATGCCTACATGGAAGAGAGCGCCATTACTCAGCGCAGATGTGGAAGAAACACTAGGGAGAAGCGAACGCCCGATGTCATGTAGTGTGTTGAATAGACTGCTGAACGGTATTCGCAGGAGACGTTGGTGCATCTGCAGCAGCGCCTGAGGAATAACAACCTCTCCTTGTCTTCAGTCTTCAACGCATTCAGAAGACTGAACGCTGAAGAAATGCCACCACGAGTTCGACCATGTCAATAGTGCCACAAGAGGGACGCGCGCGAAAGTTCTCTTGCTCACAGTCAGAGGCCGTAGAGGGACGCTGATTGTGGCAATGAATAACCATGGGATCGTCTACTGAAAAATGATCAGGGATGGCACATGCAGTGGTGTTAAATTCTCCATTTTCATCGAGGAACTTGTGGCGCGGAGGAGTGGAGATGAATGGTGCATGGCTCCTCATGGACAACGTGCGCATTCAGATGCCAGATGACCTACGGAGGATCCTGGGCTCCACTTGTCAGCTGAAGTTCCTGTTGCCCTACTCGTACATCCTGAGCCCTGTGGGGCATGTGTTTTCGAAGGTGAAAGCGTCAACGAGACGCCTGTTGACGAACCCGGCACCTGAGCAGTCGCTAAGTGCGGTCATACAAGTAATCGTTGAGATGATTACTCAGCAGAACTGCAGCAACTGCATCCTCCATATGATGCTGAACTTGACAAACGTGGCATCCGCACAACTGTACATCAACTGACCGCCTCTATAAATTAAACTAATTTTTTTTTGTTAATATACCTTTCATTTTACAGCGCGCGAAATCTATCCAAACTGCCAGGGTTCGCAAGCAT